CTAAATTTGTTTTAACCTATACTGAATTTTTGAACTCATATGGCCAATAAAAAAAATACATGTAATCCAGTATTGAAGATTTTTATCAAATTTTCTATGTGCTTAGAACTCGCTAAAACTGCATCTGAATATGAAAAAAAATTATATATGTAGCATTTTTATAGGCAGATATACAATCAATTATAAATCTGTGAAACAGATCTTCTTTAATTGTATAGAATGCACATAAAAAGCAGGAAAAAAAGTTTTTTTCACTTTGAATTGCCATTTTTTTTAAATTTTGTTTTAAATATGAAATGTTTTTGATACAAACATTTTGCCATAATAATATATATGTTATAGGGTAACTGGCTGGTTGGATTGATTGATTGATTGCTGCAAGCTTAATGTCCAGTGGCAATTATTTCATGCATAGTCAGGATGAGAAACAATCAAAAATAAATGGAAAATGTGTCCATGGGACACAGATGATGCTCCCACTTGCATATAATGTTATAAAGGGGTAAAACTTGAGAACGGTAAAAGTCACACCACCCATATTCGAACTTTATCTGAGTTTTGTGGTAATAAGCATTGCGTATAAGTTTCATAACATTTGGTTGAAGCAAATTAAAGTTAGAGAACGGAAGCTAATTTTAGGATGTTCGTATGTACAGAAGGACGTATGAACAGATAAGGGTTAAACACTTAATACCGCAGAGGGAGTATGAAAATAGATAGGATCTGCAAGGTTGTACGGCAGGAATGAAGGGTTGGGTATTTAGACTGCCACTTAAAAACAATGGTATGTTAGATTGGGGCTGAATTGTTGATTTGTACAATTGTCTTGACATGCCAAAATCATTTTTAATTTTGGAACAATTCAATCAACTAGAAAATCATGAGCCAAGCATGTCACCCTATAAAACATATTCTGTTCATGATATGGTTTTTTAAATATCCATCAGAAACCTGGAATTTAAAGTTGTAAATCTTTTCAATTTAAGGAAATATAATGAAAACATATTCCCTGTTTGAAACATGTCTGCAAAAACAAATCATCAAAAAGTTTTTAAATCTTTCATAACACAAGACATATTACAAAAGAAATTGAAAAGTGAATTGTCAAAATTTTGTTTTATGCATTTTTTAAAACATTAATTCCTTTTTTTCAACTAAAAAGTTGTTCCTTTTATGCCAAAAAGACCTAAGTTTTCACTGAAGTTTTCAAACTTTTAATTTACGATCTTCATATACCATTTTTTACAGTGAAATAATATAAAACAAAAAACAAAAATAGCTTATGATCCTTGACAACATAATTTACATAGTTATAAAACATTGTAAAAGCAACTTCAGTGTTACATAAAAATACATAGATTTTTCATGATAAATTACATAATGTGGTTTTGAAACAATTAAAGTTTTCTTCATATTAAAACTGACAATAAGGCAGAGTTTTGACACGTAATTGGAAATTTTCAGAGCATCATACAATAACCAATTAATTTATTTTCCAGTTTTTCTCTGAATGATTAAAATGTCTCTTCTAATATAAACTTGGTTTTAATGCATGTTTATATATAGCTTGATATTTCCTATAAACAATCATGTATCAAAACGCTGCCATTTTTTAATTTTTAATGAAAATTACATTGATGCCATCTTTCCTTCTTAAAATCTTGGTGAATATTCAATATGTTTGAAAAAATTTTGTAACAGTAATATGACTTTACACCATAATAATTATCAATCATTTTCGCCCAAATTTCTTATGGTTTTATGATATTTTATTTTTAGACCATCTCCTCCTTTGGTCCTGATCTTGAAGATGTTTCTTAAATTAGCTGCAATTTATGGTTAAAATCAAAAGTTTATTTTGACATGTTCGAAGATAGTCTGAGGATGCTCTGAAATCTGAAATCTGACTCCTGGAGCCTTGGGCTGTCCCAAATGTCACAGTCCCCCCAAAAAACCTGTCAAACATCGCAGCAATCACTGACTAATTCATAAGACAGAAACCTCAAATTATATGATGACCCTTCAGGATCCATCAAGTACTATTCTTCCATGCATAATATTAGCTACCAATATTTTTCCCTTTCACCAAAGGACTTCATTTCTCTACACAACCCTAATAGGCTGCATATTCAAGATAAAAAGAAAAAACATGGAAAAATTTACTGTTATGATAAATTCTTCTAGGCTTGGTAACGGGGATATCAACTAACTAACAATGAAACCAATTCCACCAATGATTTTTTTAAATGTACTTTGGGTTGGTGTATAATTCTGACAGTGAGTAGGCCTGAGAACACAGTTTTTTCGTAGTGCATTTCTTATAGACAATTAATACAATTAAAAAATATCACACCCACGTTTTCTCAATTATACTTTTACAGTGAATTCTGTTTGACAGCTTCAGACATAGCATACTAGTTTTTAACCTTTTTCAACTGGACCAAATCTGACTACTTTACTTTAAAATTCATGACCCAAATTTTTTTACTGTGTAATTTCATCCTGCTTAACTTGCTATTTGATGCGTTAAACATTAAAAAATAAATTGTAAAGGGGTATAAAAAAAATTTGCAATTGAATACACTGTCCACATTATATGATGGACACTGAAGATTAAAGGATGATAACTGTGTTCCCTGACCACCAAGTATTGCTGTTACATGATCTTACCTGTTCATAAATATTTCCATAAGCAGCTAATTACATATAATTACGAATATATATAAAAATACATGTAGTCCCAACATATATCAGAGACAAATTTTTCAAAAAGTGCACTTCACATAGACTTCCTTAAATACCTTAAATCATTTTTTTATTTAAGTTTCAACAGCATGTTTCATACATAAACATTTATTTATTAATTTAAACCTTTTCAAAACATTTTGATAATTTTATTATTTAGTACATTTCATGACTTTTTTGTCAATAAAATACTAAATACTAATTCAATAATCTGATGTAAGATAGAAAACAGTGAAACACAAGTTTTTTGTTTACTTAACTATTTATAATTAACCTTTTGTCCTCATTTCTGAACCTTAAGACTTTTATCAAATAAATGGACATCGAGCTGAGCCCTAACTTTGAGAAATAAAACACCTGTTCATTTCATGTTCATTTTTATTTAGTTAATTGATTTTGTTTATTTAAATTACCTGAAATTATAATGAAGTTCTCTTTCTAATATATACATCCTTCAACTAGCTGATTTATATTGTGCTATCTATACCGGTCAGCAGTACATACATTTATATATAGGTACATATGTATACCAAACTGTAAAATTTACTGTCACTGATAACGGATGGAAAGTGAATTAAATTATTTATTGAAGGTCTTGAAAGCTGTATAAGACCATTTTTTCTAAAAACTTATTTTTGTTATCTATCATACATTTGTAAAAGAGTTCAGTGCTTAACTATGCTGGTTTTTTTTGTACATTCTTTTAGTTTTTGAATCTATTATGTAGTAAAGTTCAAGAGTATCTGCTTCTCTAGAAAAAACTCCTTAATTGTTGCTTTAGGTGTCAGACCACCAATTAAAAAATCCCTATCTGCTCAACCAAATTTTGCAATTTTACAGCTTTCTAAGTATTTTACCTTAGGTTTTATTTCATAGAAACCAGGTATATCCTGAATCATACAGGTATCACCTTTCTACATGCCAATTTTCAACATACCTTCAAAATCTTATAAGAAAGGAGAGACCTCCCGAACTGAGGTAACACTAAAAATAACCCCTGGTTTTCTGGAAATCTTAAATTAGTATACTATGGAGCACATTAATCCTCAAGTTTTAATGCAAACTCATTGACAAGAAATTTTTGGCTCAAAATGGTCTTAATATATTTCTCTTTCACCAAGAGTGTCATTTCTGCAAATTAGTTGGTTAGTTTAAGTAAACAATGACATCAAATGCACTATTTTTTGTCCGAGTAGGCCTACTTTTACATACGTTCTAAATTGGAGGGAGTAATTGGTGGTCTGACACCTAAAAATAACATTTCTAAAATAAGTATTCTTATTGTTTAAAAGAAATTAGATATCTATTTGAAAATTTAACATCCTCGAACATAAAGGGTTCCATGGTTTTTTTGTGTGTAAGTTTTGGGGTAACAATACCTAGAATTTTCACAAATTTCAATTAAAACAAAACAGAAACAAATCTCTAGTCCTGAATAAGATATTTTTAAGGACAAATTTGTGCTTGCATGAAACCTTATTCATAAAGAAACAGAAGAATAAAACTGTTTAAACATAACAACCAATCAGAAATAGTCATCTTTTTAATTCTCTATGTTATGTTCTCTTCAAAAAAATGGTTTTTCCAAAATAAAGGGATATTTTGTACATGCATTGTAACCTACTTTGTTTTTATGGTTCTTTGTCATTTCACCAATTACAATACAAGAACAGAGTTCCAATGTCCCCCCCCCCCCCACCCCCTCCTTTGCACATATTTTATATTTCCAAGGGGCATAACTCTTTTTAAAAAAGTCTATCGGCCACCATTATTGAACTTGTCTGAGATATTGCTGATATTAACCTATAGTATAAGTTTTATAAAAATTTGGCAAGAATTGTACCCAATAGAGCATTAACGAGGCCATTTTCCATAAATTTAATATTTCCAAGGGATATAACTCTTTTTAAAAAAGTTGATCGGCCACCATTATAGAACTTGTCCAAGATATTGCTGATATTAACCTAAAGTATAAGTTTTATAAAAATCTCGCAAGAATTGTACCTGTGAGAGCGCTAACAAGACCAAACGGAAGGACGGATGGACATCCGGTATTTCCATGTCCCCCGCAACGCGTTACACAGGGGACAATTATGATGCACAAAATGATGCACTATTTGCTCAACTGCTTGATACATGCATGGAAAGAAGGTAAATTGATCCAACTTTAATACAGCAAGATATATTTATGTGACCTTTTCCCCTAGTAATATATGCTGTTCCTTTTTTTTTTTTTTTTTTCTTATGAAAATATATTTTTAGTTTTTTTCAACAGCAGAAATCCAATTAACAGCTGTATAGCTACTTTTAAGCTTGCTTCCCGAAGAAGCAAGCCCATTTTGACACTGTTTTAGGAATAGATTAGCTTAGCTGTATTTGGCAAAACTTTTGGGATTTTTGGGTCCTCAGTGCTCTTCAACTTCGTACTTTATTTGGCCTTTTTAACTTTTCTGATTTGTGCTCACTGATGAGTCTATTGTAGAGACTAGCGTTTGGCATACAAATTTTCAATCCTGGTATGACATGTATGATGAGTTAATTTCCAAATTACTGTCCATTTTTTACATCTCCTTTTCAGGTTAGTGGTCATCCTGTTGCGGTTCATGAAGCTGCATAGTGCAGTTTGTTTATTGTGTGTTTTAGTTTTATGACGTATGGTCTTGCTTTTATATATTTTTTTTTCTTCCCTTCAAACAATTTTGCCAGTAAATGTCAGTGCCATATTGAAATACTATAGCTATTATAATCCATGTATTCAGAAAAGCATTTTTCTTAGTCTTTGGATGAACCAAATTTATAAAGTATAGTTTTGATATTCAAAAAAGTTATTTTCTAATACTACATATACAACAATTTCTTTTTTTTTAATTGCAAGGAGCAAAATCACTGTAAAAATCATCCATGATTATAATAACATATGGTCTTGCATTTATGTTTTTTTTTCTTCCCTTCAAACAATTTTGCCATTAAATGTCAGTGTCATATTGAAATACTAGCTATTATATTCAGAAAATTTGTTTTCTAGTACTACATGTACAACAATTTGTTTTTAATTTCAACAAGCAAAATCACTCCAAAAATCATCCATGATAATTACCATAGATGCAAAAGGTAGTTTTATTGTTGTACTAATTTATTACTGTTGTTTGATTCTGCAGCACTGCACACCAGACATTAAAAGTTTCCATATTTGACTGGAAGTGACACTACTCCTGTCCGTCCATTGTAATCGACAGCTCTGACCCGGTAAGTTCCCTCCACATAGTCATCTTTTTCCTCAGGTGGAGTAAAATAAAACGAAGTGATAATAATATCATAGTCATTTATCCTTATCATGACTTTTGTATTTTTTGGCTGGAAAATGACTTCGTAAGTCCATATACATTTTGTATTTACACAACCATCAGACCAAGTTATCAGGACTTTGCCTGCAGTCACGTTATAAATGGCGAGATTGGTCACCTGATCAGGCTGTTGGAGTGCATTTGCGCAGAAATGCAGAAGAATTGACTCCGGTGTCCGAATATTAAATTTCAAAGTATGTGGATTATTAAAATCAATAAAAGAGGCATTTAGAAATCTAGTTGGTCCTTCAGCCTGACGCATGCTCGTGAAATGTGAAACAGAAGGAAAATCTGGACTTCCAAAGTTTTTCCACATCGCATAAGGATTACTTGTCAAGTTATTATTGACGGAATAGCCCACAGCAGTAACAGTTGTCCCATTAGGATATGGAGGTCCAAGGAGAATACTCAATTCCACAGAACTTATTTCTTGTGGATCAGATTTTGTATCCATACTTTGATAAACCATGACAGTGGTCTGCCATGAATCAGGAGTACCAAGCCCGTCATAGTAATGACGAGTAACAAGCACACCAAGGTTGCTATCATTCTGAACTTTGACCCTCTGACTAAAGTTATTCTCCACTGTCAGAATAGCTTTAAGTTGTTGATCGCCATGTAAACTAAGCAAGCTCATGACAGAATGGACTGGTTTCCGTACAAATTGCACATGAGGTGGGTTTGTATTATTCATCTGGAACCGAGCTGTGAGTGTTCTCTGAGTAAACTGATGAGGGAACCAGCTCAAAAATGCATTATCATTACTTAGTAGTGTAAAATTAGTTATTGGTGAATTTTGATTGACTATAATCATATTCTGATGTTGGCTTATCACCTTGGCAACCATAGCAGCATAAGTAGCGTCTGCTCTCCAATCTTCATACTTAGACCAACCAACGAGAGGATCAGCCTCGTCATTATAAAATGGTTTGTTTGCTAAAGATGGGTATTTTTTCTTTATCTCGTTGACTATTTCTATCTCTCCGTTTAAAATATTTTTAGAGAAGCCATCGCCTTTCCTATGATATGACAGAAAATCAATCCTGACACCTTTCTCCCTGGTAAAGTAGTTTTGACCATTTACAACATGTTGTAAAAGTCCATCTGCATATTGGTTATGACCTGGACGATCGCATCCTGCGCCTGGTCCACCAAATTTGATTAATGGACTCGCTTCTTTCAGACCCTCTGAACAAGCATCGTAATAATTAAGAAAACCCTTCACGGTCATTTTAACCTTGTCAAAGTCATGACAGTCTGGTTCGTTCCAGGTCTCAAAGTTCCATGTCATTACTTCACTTAAACCATACTCGGCCACAAAATGTTGACCTAAATCTTTAATAAAATCCTTCCATAAATAGACTTGAGTCTTGTTTTCAAAATCATTGAAATATCCAGACGGAGACCCCATTAATTCAAATCCAGGTTTTAATTCTTGTTCAAAAAGAAACTCCAGCAAATCATCAAGTTTGTCATAATTGTAAACAAGACCACCATCTTTTTTTGTAGTCATAGAAACCAGATCTAACAGCCAATGAATTCTGACTTGCTTTATTCCCCCATGGGCAACTGAACCAATCAGAGCCAAGTTATGCTTCATGTCTCTACCAAAATCATAATCATATGCTTTCTCGTGTGGAAGTGGTGGACAAAATCCTGTACTTCTCCAAAAATGTGTAAAATTGTTCTGGACATTATAAGTGTCTATTTCAAGATGATAATTTTTTCCTCCACGTTGACCTGAATTTCGAAATGTCTGGTTCCACATTAAAATCAACCACATAATAAATCCCCACATTTTGATAGCTATCTTATATTTAATCGAAAAATGTAACTGATTATATACGTTTATTTACACAATCGTAAATATTTCCTTAACCTTGAACTCTGATAAGTACATGTACATCATCTTTTTCTTTTTCTTTATGGCTGGGTCATACTAAAGACTTGAAAATTGATATTTGCTGCTTCTCTACAAAGCACCTGGCATGAAGGAGTAACAGCAAAAGACTGGTCTGCTAGAAGTCAGAATATTGTGCCCTTGTATGGTGATATGTTCCTGCAAACTGTTCCCTGGTAAACTATTCATATCACATTAAAATGTTCTTGTCGCGTACAGGTGTGGATCTAGGATTATGAAAAAAAGGAGGGGGGTTGAGGGGGGTGCCTGGCAAACCAAAGTTTGGAGTTACCCTTGGAAAAAGTATGTAAACTGTTGTAGGAATAATTTTTGTAAAAGATTTTATGTCTGGAGAATTTTAGAAAAGGTATCAAACTGAGTCATAGGCACTTGGAGACAGGACAATTATTTTAAGCCCTCTCCCTTTTTTCCAAAATCCATCTATCATATTTTCTTTGATTTTAGATGCAGATTTAAGCAACTATAAGTCACAGTACAGCCTTCAATATGGAGAAACACCCATACCGTATAGTTGGCTATAAAAACCCTGACATGACAAAATGTATATTAACTAAAACAAAAACAAATTTCAAATCATTTCTGTTTTTCCACCATAGGATCTTTAAAACTAATCAGTAGATAGGACTTTCAAACTAATATATTTAAAAAATTTAATGTTCGTGTATTTCAATGGAATCATGTTCAATCTACTTAACAGGGTAAGAACCATAACTCTAGAACAAGAAGAATGAATAACTATAAATAAAAAATAAAAATTTAACAGTGTATAGAAAATTGCTTTTTATCCAAATATTTGAATCTACGATCTTAAAGGTATTTGTTTTAAAAAGATTTAACCACAAGCATGATAAGTGTTTTATTTAATAAATATTTTGTTTGTATTGTATTAATATGCAAGAGTTCTTGACATAGAAAAGCAGTTGATTGATTGATTGATTTAACATCTCGCTTAATTTTCAAGGATTTATTTTATTAGAATACAATATTCGAATTTATTGCAGAATTTTCATTAACTTTCAAGGATGTACAGTGATATCATAACATATATTTTTGCATGAATTAATTTGGAAACTTGAAATTAGGTGAAAATATAAGATTTCAGAAATTACATCGCTCAATTTAACAAATTCATAATGGTTGAATACACTTTATCTAACAGATAGTATTTAAGCACACTCTATTTCACTAACGGATGCAAACATACAGACTTTGTACTTTTAATGGTAACCAAACAATAAACATTGTCCTGTAAGTAAGACAAGGTTACAGTCAGATGTATAATATAATCTCTAATGGTTGAAATATAATACACTGACTTCCTAAGCCCAAAGCTCGATGATGACTATTTTCTAGTCTATGATATGATTTTAGAGGACAAGTTTGAATCTAATTTGATTGCTTCTAGTCAATGTTTTTTTTCAATCACTATCAATGTCCTGTTAACAGTACATGCGAATCTGAATTATGATCTTCAAATGTAACAAGAACACAAAAGTTGTCGTGCAAAACTTACCCACATTATTTAGACAAAATTTTAGAAAAATCAGGATATAGATTTCTGACAAAATCTCAATAAACTGCTTCGCTGAGCGCAGCTGGATACGCCCGCAGAGGTCTAACCCTGAACAGTTGGGGCAAAAATGGACACAATATTCAAGCTTGATACAGGTCTGAATTTGGATTGTAATTAAATATTTGACATACATCTATTATAGGTTTCTGAATAAATGTAGTCAAAGAACTTGAAGTTGGTTATATGAATTGAATTTATATTCAATTAAAGATTTCTTGCTGTTGTGCAATACACTGTGCTGTTGCCCAATACTTAGTAAATCTGTTGTCAGACTAAAAACAAAAAAAATTATAAAATTCTAAAGGGAGCTTACATCAATAGATATAAACAGTTCACCAAAGTTTCATACGAATTGCTGAAAGCATTTTTGAGTTTTTGTCTGAAAACTGGAAAATCCCCCCTTCTTTAATGAATAAACCCCATAATTCGGAAATGTAAAATCTAAAATTTATAAATTTCTAAAGGGAGCTTACATCAATAGATATCAACAATTCATCAAAGTTTCATGAGAACTGCTGAAAGCATTTTTGAGTTATTGTCCGAAAACTGGAAAATCCCCCTTTTTTTCATGAATAAAACCCCATAACTCGGAAACGTAAAATCTAAAATTTATAAAAATCCTAAGGGAGCTCATGTCAATAGATATAAACAATTAACCAAAATTTCTTGCAAGTTGGTGAAAGCATTCTTGAGTTATAGTCCGAAAACTGGAAAATCCCCCTTTTTTTAATGAATAAAACCCCATAACTCGGAAACGTAATATCTAAAATTTATAAAAAAAACGAAAGGGAGCTCATGTCAATAGATATAAACAATTAACCAAAATTTCTTGCAAGTTGGTGAAAGCATTCTTGAGTTATTGTCCGAAAACTGGAAAATCCCCCTTTTTTTAATGAATAAAACCCCATAACTCGGAAACGTAATATCTAAAATTTATAAAAAACGAAAGGGAGCTCACGTCAATAGATATAAACAATTTACCAAAGTTTTAAGCAAATTGGTTAAAGCATTTTTGAGTTAATGTCCGACATGTTGACGACGGACGGACGGACAGACGGACGGACAGACGGACGTACAACGGTATACCATAATACGTCCCGTAAACGGGCGTATAAAAAGCACTCACATGATAAAACTTGTCACCGTAAAAAAAGCTGCTGACCAAATATGAGGTCTTTCTGTTTGGTATACATAATTAATGAAAATTGTGACGAACTGATGACCAAATATGAAGTCATTATGTTTAGTATCACAGGAGAAATGTGTGACGATAATTTTTAATACAAAAATAAGATGTGGTATTGATTGCCAATTAGACAACCCTCCACCAGAGACCAAATGCCATATAAGTTAACAGCTATAGGTCACTGATTGGCCTTCAACAATGAGCAAAACCCAAAAAGCATAGTCAGCTATAAAAGGCCAAGAAATGACAAATATAAAACAATTCAAACAAGAAAGTTAACAGCTGGATTTATTAAAGTTCATACAACATATTGAAATAATTAAAGTATCGGCAAACAGGAAGTAGGTCGCAAACAGGAAGTAGGTCTCAAACAGATAAAAAGACCAGCTACAACTCATCACAGCCAAGCTGCTGACCAAATATGAGGTCATTCTGTTGAAAAGTGTTACAAACATATTTCTTGGATGAACAGATGAACTGACTGACAGACGGACTGACAAGGAGATTGTAATGTAGCCCCACTTTTAGAGTGGGGTATAATTTTCACATTTCATTATTATGATCTATTATCAGGTATACAGTTCAATCAAAATTTGAAACTTTTACATAACTATATACTTACAGAAATGATGATGAATTATCCAGGATGGTTCCCTTGGGTCCAAACTGACAGCATGGACTAACACCATAAAGTGATCTTGCTCTTCTGGAAATATAAAGTACATAAAATATATATATTTGTACAGATCAGATGTGACATAAAGAGAACTAGCTCACTTTAAAAAAATAATGTACATAAAATATATATTTATACAGATTGGATGTGACATACATGTACAGAGATTCAGCTCGTCTAAAAAATTGTATACATAAATAAATAAATGAATTACGGACTGGATGTGACATAGAGAGATACAGCTCTTCTGAAAAACAATGTACATAAAATATATTAATGATGTCAGATTGGATGTGACATACAATCACAATTACAAATGCACACAAAAATTTCTGATTTATAAGTAATTCCCGTATGCGGAGTGGGCAGTTGGGATTGTGGCCACAAATTTATGACATGTGTTAATGGTCATCTATGACTTAGATATTTCATAAAGATCAATTTAGTCTTAGTAAAACTTGAAAAAATCGATAGCATCAACATGTGATCATTTAAGTTCAGCACACTGTGCATATAACAGCAGTGAAATACGATTAGCATAGTATAACACAGTGCTAAGACAACTCCAAACAGCTGAGTCCTGAGAAGTACACTGCAACCATAATATTGCAAAAGTGTTGTATATTTTGTCAAATCTACACACACCAAAAAATAAATCTACATTCAAACAATTGACATGTCCTAGAAACATTGGCAGTGATTGCCTTTAAAATTACAAATCAAATCAATTGGGACATTTGTATTCACAACATAACTTGCTTTATCCTGCAATCAGCTGTTTTACAAGTGTATGATATTAAAAAAAAAAAAAAATGCTATATTTATATAGGTATTAAATATTGTCTTCTGACAAATGTAATTTTATTATGATAAAACATTCAAACTACATACCTCACACAGAAGTTAATTTTGATTTCTTTAAAAAAAAATAATTGACATTTGGAAATTAATAACTATAAGTGTTAGCTCCAATCTAACACATATTTTCTCACGATAAACCTGCTTCTATTATGATTAAAAGAAAATATCCAAATTACATATTTGTAGCAGTTCAATCCAAGCAATGTTGATGTCTTTGAAAAGAAATTCTACAATAAGAAATTTGATAATTACTAATCATTTTAGCACCAAACTTGCATGATAAAAACAGCATACTAATATTGTCTGAGACTTTATTTTCCAACAATATTTATATATATATTGTATACAAAACTGAACACTACCTTGTATAAGTTTTCGGGGCAAAAATGTATCATTGTGAAATCCCATATAAACAACAAATATATTCTAACCCTTTATAGATCTTTGTCCAGTACATTATTTTTGAATATGATATAGCGATACTGTCTAAATATCAATGTGTGATGCTGGTACTATCCATATTTGTCAACAATTGCTCCAAAACAAGTTGGTACAGCTTTTACCCTTATTTTACATTAAAAGATTTAGTATTCATGAATAATATAGTTAAAAGCTTTAAGAAACAAGAGGAGGGGGTGCTTTTTTTTATTCAAAGTCAATAAACATATAGATTTTAACACTACATTGTGTGAAACGATGTGTATCCACTTTAGACAGTTTAATTTTCAAATTAGACAGTTGAGAGTGGAGAAATATCGTATTGCATGAGATTTGGAGGGGGAATCTGTTTCTTTTAATGTGTACACACTTATCTTTTTTTTCAATGATCTGCAAGAAGATGTGTTCTTTCTAAAGATCAGACATCATCAGACATTGTTGCCTTTTTCAGGACATCATAATAGCAAATTCAGAGGTAACAAGAAAATTTGAAGTCATAATTGAATTTTGACCAATGGAGCACCAAGATCAAAATGGATCCTGCCATCCAAAGGAAGAATGCCAATGGCTGAATACTGTAGATTCATTATTATTCGTGGGATACCAATTTCCGTGGATTTCATGGGTACAGGTGAACCACAATTATAGTTCAACGAATTACAAAGGAGAAAGTCCTGTAAGGGCTAGTTTTGGCCGAAAAAATTTGAAGTACATCTGATGAAAGATTTTTTACATATTTTAAACACTTAAGTGTCTACTTCAGTTGATTCAATTAGTTTATGTTAAAGATTTGATCTGATTTGGTCATTAAAGACGCTGAAATTCAAGCTAAGATATGAAAAATCTATCAAATATGCCATTAAATGTCACTTTTCAGATGGTTTTTGTCTAAAGTGGCCGCATTTATGTGTTCAGTCTCACCCTTTATATATGTTATGTATTATCATCAAATACAACATATATTTGAATAGAAAGACAGAACACAAATGCGGCCACTTCCATTCTAGACAAAAACCGTCTTAAAATAAGCACAGATGCTACAATTGTGAAGATTTCAGTAATTTTGCATGAATTTATGATACTTTTACCTGATGCATGTTCATAGTATTGTCAAAAACAGCCCATTTTTATGGAACAAACGTATTCTACTTTCCAATAAAGAGCTATAAGTTTACATTTCAACAAATTTGTAAAAATGCTATATTTTGGGGCCAAAAAGGGGTCTTACTGGGCCTATTCCTTTTCTATAGGCTTGTTTGCAGACTTTGGCAAAACAGTGAAAAAAATATCCATGAAATGCAGGTTTTACTCAATCCAAGAAAAGTTGGAATTACCCATGAAAATAAATGAATCCATAGAAACCCCCCCCCCCCTTTTTTTAACAACAAAGTGAAAACTGTATTATAACCATATCCCAATTTCCATTCTCCAAATCAAAGTCAAATCTCTGGAACAAACCAGGACCTAAACTTGACTAGCCATAAAGTAAACACAGCATGATAAATTGCCTACCCTAAATCATATCCTTTTACAAATATATATATAAAACCCTTCATATACAGACTTCCTGGATCAAATAAGTGTGCAGTGAAGTTTAACTACTAAAATTAGTTGTTTTTATTAGCTATCTAAAAATTTATATATATATACAATAAAGAATAAAGACACATCACTTAAAAACAACCTACTGACAGGAAAAATTGATGCAACAGAAAATTCTTCCTTAAAACATCCTGTCTATGAAAAAGTATATATATCAAGATTATTAGTAGATCTTTAATTTTCGTTTTAAAAAAATTACCTATTCTTATACATGTATATATCGTAGACACTTCCTGAATTCAATAAATACAAAGATTTGTTTATGTCAACCTAAAGAGTTCATTTTTCAGTACATGGGCATTTAAACTTAGTTTGAAGATCCAATTTACATTCTCAAATAAAAACTAATATTGATTAAAAAAAAATTTTATTCATTTTAATTTTCGTCTAATTTTTAGTCTTTGTCTTTGAGTAAAGCAAATAGTTAGCTACCACATATGAAATAGAGAATTTTTTAATTCATTTTTAAATGATGTATCAGTAATTCAAAGCCCTCTCATTTCTGACATAATGTAATTCAGGGGCGGATCCAGCCATTTTTAAAAGGGGGTTCTAACCATATTTCCCCATTCAAAAGCATTGATCATCAAAAAAGGGGGGTTCCAACCCCCAGGAACACCAACCCCAGGAACACCAAACCCACCACCCCCCCCCCTCCCCCCTGGATCAGCAACTGTAATTTAATTCATATTCAACTTAATTTTATTTGAGGGATAAATGGCTGTTTTATATCTATTGTGGGGGGGGGGGGGGGGGGGGGGGGGTACATGCATATTCAGGATGAGAACAAGTTCTTGTGATATACATATTCATTGTAAACCCTGTTTTTAATAGACAGACATCCTTAGTCAGATTTTTAACATGCTAATTCCAAACGGGGGGATAAATGGTTGTTTTATATCCATTGGCAACTGGCACAAGCATATTTAGATTGTACATATTCAGGATGAGAACAAGTTCTTGTGACGTACATATACATATATACATTGTGAACCCTGCTTTTTACTAGACAACCTGAGCCAGACTTTTAACATGCTATTTCCACAGAGGGGAGTTACTGACACACAACCTGAGCCAGACTTTTAACATGCTTATTCTACAGAGGGGAGTTACTGACAGACAACCTGAGCCAGACTTTTAACATGCTAATTCCACAGAGGGGAGTTACTAGACAGACAACCTGAGCCAGACTTTTAACATGCTAATTCCACAGAAGGGGAGTTATTAGACAGACAACCTGAGCCAGACTTTAAACATGCTAATTCCACAGAGGGGGAGTTACTGACAGACAACCTGAGCCAGACTTTTAACATGCTAATTCCACAGAGGGGAGTTACTAGACAGACAACCTGAGCCAGACTTTTCACATGCTATTTCCACAGAGGGGAGTTACTGACAGACAACCTGAGCCAGACTTTTAACATGCTATTTCCACAGAGGGGAGTTACTGACAGACAACCTGAGCCAGACTTTTAACATGCTATTTCCACAGAGGGGAGTTACTGACAGACAACCTAAGCCAGACTTTTAACATGCTATTTCCACAGAGGGGAGCTACTGACAGACAACCTGAGCCAGATTTTTAACATGCTTTTTCCACAGAGGGGAGTTACTGACAGACAACCTGAGCCAGACTTTTAACATGCTTTTTCCACAGAGCGGAGTTACTGACAGACAACCTGAGCTAGACTTTTAACATGCTATTTCCACTGAGGGGAGTTACTGACAGACAACCTGAGCCAGACTTTTAACATGCTAATTCCACAGAGGGGAGTAACTGACAGACAACCTGAGCCAGAATTTTCATATGCTATTTCCACAGAGGGGAGTTACTGACAGACAACCTGAGCCAGACTTTTCACATGCTATTTCCACAGAGGGGAGTTACTGACAGACAACCTGAGCCAGACTTTTCACATGCTATTTCCACAGAGGGGAGTTAATGATAGACAACCTGGGCCAGACTTTTAACATGCTATTTCCACAGGGATGGGGGGAAGGGGTACATGCATATTCAGGATGAAAACAAGTTTTTGGGATACACATATATATTACATTGTAAACCCTGCTTTTTACTAGATTGATAACCTGAGCCAGATATTAAACATGCTAATTCCCAAGGTTACTGTCCACAGAAAGACATATGTTAGCCTGCCTC